GACAGTTCTCTCAAAAGAAAAGGTACCTGGGAGCTGTCAGCAGTCAGTAGTTACAACAGCTAGAAAATAAGTGCGCTGACTTGGTAAAGTGGATTAGGGAGAGAAATGAAGACCATGTTCTACAGCTAATAATCTCTTCTTCTGTTCCTTATCATTAAATTTTGGGTTTTATTTTTCCATTGAAATAGACTGCAAACAGCATGGCTGACACTGGCTGTCCCGCTACATGTACCGTCAAGCTCACTGCTGTCCTACAGGTCTTTCTGAATTTATGTAACCAGCCCTGAAATTATTAGAGTTCAGGGACCTTCATTATAGCAATTGCCAAGGTAGCCACATTTAATTATCCTTGTTTCTTTTTGATTTTTTTCCCCAGTACTAATTGTCTGAGAATGTTCATGATTCATTTTCATATCAATTTTAGGTATAAAAACATTTTTATGATACCTAATTTTTAAGTGAGTGAACAATATTGATAAATGTGAGATGTACACCAGAGCCTATAATTTACAGATTGTAAGTATTTGCATAAGAAAGTTGTGGAGAGATTGCTTTTTGTCTGGTTTTGCTCCCAATTTGCCTCAATCCTGAGAGCCTTCAGTGGAAGCTGGAAAGGTAACATGACATTCTTCAGACACACAGAGGATCTAAGGTTCTATATGTGAGTTAGGTTCAGCCAAGCAGAGGCACCCATTGGAGTCACAGAGGAAGTGGGCAAGGTAGGGTAGTGGCTGCACAGGTGAGGTGTGATCTTGGGTCAGAGGTATTTGATGCCCCTGGAGCAGCTGTGATGCAACTTCTGCAGCCTGTTCCCTAATGTCACGGAAGCCAAGTGGCAGATGGTGCTGCTGGCACACAGTGGTGTGGGTGGGCGTTTCTTCTGGTTGCCTTGCTTCTGCCATTTTCCTAGTACTTTCTGAAACTTTATATTCTGCCTAAGAATGTGTAGTAGATTCTCTCTCCTCAGACCATCTCGGCCAGATTTCATTACCTACAACTAAGAACTGTCACCTTGGCAGTGAGAATAATAATCCTAAATCTCAGCAGAGTTATTCTCAAAATAATATCTCAATGAGTACCAAAATGATGCTGCCACATGCTAGGTCTGCTTCTTTGCTTTTTAGGCCTGGAAACCCATTCTTATTGTTCTGCAGGATGATCAGGTTTAGAAACATATGCGTATGCCTGAAGCCCTAAAAAAAAAAAAGACTGAAGTGGACACAACCATGAATTAATTAAATGGTCGAGATGTCAGGGAAATTTCTGCCTCAATTCAACCTACATGATCGTAAGCCTAGGTCAGGAAAACTGGGACTGAGTGTGAAGATGGCCAAAAGGAATCTCACAGATACCAATGCATATAAGGATCAAAAACGTAACAGCGGAGGCACAGTGAGCATAGCTTTGCAATGTGGCCCTTCTGTTTTTCACAGGATGCTCTCAGCGTGGGGACAAAGGTGGCAGAGCGGTCTGTGTGGGGATCAGCCACCAGCCCTAACGTCCTGAATTGGGCCCCGAAATTCTTGTGCCATCCTCACATATGCATGTGTATTTTGCATCCTCCATTTACCTGGACACACAATCACAATATGAAATGCCAAATCATAATCAAATGAGTGGGTGAAGGCATGCAGGGTAAAAGATGAAGGAATTTATATGACCTTGTGACAAATTCCTCTGATAACAGCTTGAAGGACTTGGCAGTAGGACTAGAAAGCTTCAAGTTGGTTGACCCAACATCCCCCTACCCTGGGCAGGTCTGGATGAGCATAATGAAGTTCAAACTTATTATCTTTTTATCTGCTTGTTAAAGTTTTCTTTAGTACATGCTTTACTTCTCCTTCTAGGTAATTTAGTACAATCTGGACTCTGTTTAGACCTAAGTCCTAAGGTTTGACTGGAAAACCTTCTAGTCACCCATTTTCTGGTTAATTCTTAGATTGATTCATTTAGGGCAGAAGTAGGAAGGCAAGTTGATTTCTTGATTTACCCATCAAAAGACAATCTTATTTCCAAGTTCTTGGAGTAAGCCTCATTCAATCCCTCAAGTACTGACAACACTGATCTGCCAAGACTCTCAAGAAATACCTACCTACACAGTTTATCTTTAGGCCATAAGAATGAAGCCTGTGAAATTTATCTTGTCTCTAATTTTAAACTTAAATTTTAAGATCTACTTTCCCCTGCAAATGCGAACGATTATTCTCAGTCATTTTGACTGCACTTTGGTTGTGTTTGAATTATTTTAAAAATAAAAGTTTATTTTTTAAAAATTCAGCATTTAGATTACAATTTGAAGAAAAAAATGTATGATACAAAATTTATCTTTTATTCAACCAATATAGCCTGTCACTTTTTTATAAATTTTATCCCATAAATGATGTGAAGAACTTGGCAATTGAGTTTATCCTACTATATCTTTGCTATCCAAACTAGCAAAAAGCCAGTTTACACTTGGCATCAGTTTTGTAAGTTTATTAAAAATAGAAAAAGTGGTCTTAAATAAATGTTACTTTGGGAGTTTGAGACATGGCTAATGGGTTGTTAATGCGTCTCAGGGATTCTATTAAAAGCCGTGTATAGAAAGGCCAAAGAAGATGCATTTTCCTTTCTATTAGGGAGAATTTTGGCAATACTCATAGACACAGAAATCATTAAATAACACCAATTGTAAGTACATGCTCCTCTAAACTTTAAAAGTGTTTCCAAAATTCTATCCTTTAATATGCATTTCTGGAACAAAAGTAAATTTGGATAATTAAAAAAATTAGTTTATCCTTTAATTATGCCATTATCATTATTGTTTTATTGCTGCAGTGCTACTCATATCATTATCCTTGATAGTCTTTACTTTTGCTCTTTCTTCATCTCCTTTTTAAAGCAGCAAGATCAAGTACAAAAAGTATTTGCCATAATTTACAATAAAAATACAAGAACAATAAAAACAAACACCATTAACAAAATATAAACCCAAACACCAGAATGGAAAGAGAACGGAAAACTCTTATGTTAAAATTTCCTAGGTATAGAAAAGTATTGTGATGAAGCCCCAAATTTAATGTTGGTCTGTGTAAATTCCTTGGCCTTTGGTTTAATCCTCCCTCTCTCTCCCTTCCCTCCTACTCCCTCCTTCCCTCCCTCTCTCCCTCCCTTTCTTTTGATACACAGTCTTGCTCTGTTGCCCAGACTGGAATGAAGTGGCACAATCTCAGCTCAATGCAACCTCTGCCTCCCAGGTTCAAGCCATTTTCCTGCCTCAGCCACCCAAGTAGCTGGGATTACATGCATCCACCACCATGCCTAGCTGATTTTTTTGTATTTTTAGTAGAGATGGGGTTTCACCATGTTGGTCAGGCTGGTCTTGAACTCCTGACCTCAGGTGATACCCACCTCGGCCTCCCAAAGTGCTAAGATTACAGGTGTGAGCCATCGCACCCAGCCAGCATCTGCTTTTTAAATCATATGTTTTTCCAAATTAAATTATTTCTCCTTTAAAATTTATCTCTTAGCGCCTTCTCTCTTCCATTGACTTCCGATTTGGCATTAACTAGCAGTGTGAATTTAGGTAAATCACTTGATCTAAGAAAATCAAGGTTTATTTTGCAGCTAGTTTGGATTAGGTGATCCTGACTTGTCTTGCAGTCCAAAATAAGAAAATGTATGTAAAATCTTTTTGTGAACAATTAGGTGCCATTAATATAAAGGTTAGTTATTATTTCTGTTTGTATTTTATTTTTTTCTGATTTCTGGACCCCCTCAACTGTTTCTAACACTCCCACCTTATGCATATCCTGGGTAAGTTTTCCATTGCACTTTACTCAAAGGAAGACAGTGAGAGAACTAAAAATATTTAACAGCTCCTGGAATAGTGTCTGTGTATGTGACTGCAGGGAGAGGGGGTGTTCTTTTTTTCCTGTTCTTTATTTATACACATATTAGGGGAACGGTTTCTATTTCTTTCAGCTATGTGAGGTTTTTGAACATGCGAGACCTCATCTGGATGTGGATACAAACGGCAAATAGCAATAGAATTCTAATTTCACTGGCTCTTATTTAATCTATTCCATCAAGATTCCAAACCCTTGTAACCCACATCCCCACCAGCCTCCTAAGCATTCCTGGGAGCCTCTAGTCAGATAACTCAATGCCAATATCTACCTTTTTTTTTTTTTTTTCCTTTTTTCTTCTCAGACCCATTTTAGCTGGTTAGGACTCTGCTCCCCAGCCATTACTGCATCCACCAGGTTTTGTCCCACCTCTTGCTGCAGTGGAACCATTGGAGCTGGGGAGATGCCATGGCTGACAGGGTGCTGCTGTGGAGTGGGACAGCATGCCTCACTCCCCTCCCTGTGCAACAGTAGGAATGCTGCTGAGATATTCCAAATGGCACAGAGTCTTTGGTGGAAGTGGTCTTTCAGTTTTTAACTTATGTTTCACACCCTCAGTTTCAAATATGAATTTGACACAGAGACAAATCAGAATGATAAACCCATGAGCAGATCAGAATTTCCATTGTGTTCCAGGACTAATCCATTCTTTCACAGTCAAGCTTGAGATACTTGCCTCCTTCCCTCCATAGTTTGGTTTGCTTTCAGGAGGTGTTTCAATCTTCTAATGGCAGAAACTGAAGATCAGTTCACCAGACACGCCCAATATATTCAAAATGTGGAAAACATCATATTATTAACTCTTGGTACAAGAATGGTGTAAGAGATGCCACTGACTTTAGGAAAAATAATATAAGTATCTTGGGTAGACAGAGGCTGAGACCCAAAGGCCTAGTGGTTGGACATTACCAAGACGCATAGCTGCTGGCAGGTGAGGGTGAAGAGGAGGTAAATGGGGAATGAGATTCTTTGGAGCTAAGACAACATGGGGCCCTGCAAGGGAAGAAGGTATGAGAGAAACCTGTCAGATAGGGAGGCAGAAAGAATGTCAAAAGAATGAGTATGTCTTCTAAGTGATTTTTCATTGATTACTCTGTGATTCCTATATTCTTATTCATTTTGGCTTTGGACAGAATAAAATATTATAGAAAATGTAAGCCAATGCCATTCAGATGTTATGAGGTAAGAGTGGTTCCCAGCTGACATCTGGATTTTATATGGGAAAAAAAACCAACTATGTCTCAATATGGAGATGTTCCGTCAAATTAACTCCAACTTATAGTACAATAGAGAGGCAAAAATTGAGCCAATGGAAACCATTTATAGTTGACACAATTAAATTGTTAATATTTGGAGCAGTATTAAGTTTGAATCTGGATTGGGTAAATTGTCTGCTATTCTGGGGAAGAGTATAATGTTTTGGTGAATGGAAATGAAGAAGGAGTTAAATTTTGACCTGAGTTGTAAAGAGATAAAGATATGATATCTGTAAGAAAAACAAATAAGAAAATTTGTATCATTAGATAAAAGTCCAGAAGAAGCCGGAGGAGAGAGAAAGAGAAAGAGATGGAGAGAGTGAAAGAGAGAGAGAGAGAGTGGCCCCTTGACTAAAGAAAGTTAACTGAGGGCTTAGTATGTGAAGCATTCAGGGTACAAACAATACGTTTTTGTGGGATGGTATTCATATTCATGTGTGAAGTAACTGGCAGTCATGGGAAGGTTAAAGTAATGTGTGGACCCCATGATTTTGACTGTCTTGTGTAGAATATACCAGGTGTACGATTCCAGAGTTGGCAAAGACGAAGGAAAGATGGGGTGGTCTTGAGAAATTTGGAAGCAACCTCAGGATTATGAAAGGGAAAGAAAAGCAGTGGAAAAGGAGAGAGAAAGGGTTGATTATTTAGAAACAGACGGCTGTGAAAATGGAAGAGAATGAGGCTGCATTCATGGTGATTCACAATGAATTGATTGATAAGAGCAATACTCTACTGGTACTAATTACATCAATTGCACAGGAGTCTTGTACCCTGTGCCTCAGGCAAACTCTAGGCCTAGCACTTTCCCTTTAGAAACCTTTTCAATGTAGGGCTGCTCAGCATCAGTAAAGTGGAATGCATAGAGATCAAAGCATAGATGAAAGCTTCCCAGACCCATAACCAACAACTCCTATCAAATAGAGTACCTATAATGCTGATAAGTATGGTTAGAAAGTAAGAGGCAAACATGATAAATAAGATGGCAAGGGACCTCAGGGCAGTGTAGTACGCTTTCATGCTTGGGTTGCAGTGACCAGCGGTATGATGTTGCATCTGCTTGGTCAGTGATGCCATGAGCAAGATGTTGGAGACCAGGAACAGGATAAAAGGAACAACCAACGAGACTTCTTTATGATACTGGAACAGATACTGATGAATCTTTTGAAGTCTGTCAGTTTCAGTGCTGTTTCTGGGTAGATGCTCCACGGTGAATAACTGAATATGCATGTAATACCCAATAGCTGAAGGGATGATTGTCACACAAGTAATCATCAGAGAACCCAGTAATAGACAGGGAACCAACTTCAGAATTCTCCACCTCAGCCAGAGAAAGATGGGGTGGGTGAAAGAAGAGATCTTGATGCAGTAGAAGATGGCAAGCAAGCTGTTTAACCAGAATGTAAGGATATTAAAAAATTCCCAGGTAATTTTTAAGTTGCAAAGTACAAAATTAAGGTTAAAATAGGAGCAAAAATTACTCTGCATTGATGCCCACTGTAGACAAAAGCGAGAGATGCCCAGGCTGATGAGAATCATGTCCACGGGCATCAGCTTTCTGACTTGCAGCCATTCTCTGCCCAGCACTGCAACAATTAAGCTGCTCTGAACAATAATTGTCAAGGACTCAAGCACATAGATGATCATGAAGAAGATGGTGAGTTGGAAGGGTATCATTCTTCTACACCAAAGTATCTTCCTGGACAAAGACTCTGAATCTCTGTACCAAATTCCAGGTAGAGAATGGGTTCCTGATTCCACCAGTGTCTGGTTCAAGAAAACACCTCCCTCTGGAAGCAAATTTTCCCAAGCTCTTTTTTTTAATTTTGCCATTTTCCTATCTATAGAACTTGTTTATGCTTTGCTTGCTGGTTTGCTATTACATACGAATATAGGGAAATATTATTTAAATGTGGATTCTGCTCCTGAGGTGATTTGATTATTCCAAAAAAAGGCATACGTATTTCATAACCATGTTGTTTCTTTTCCTCTTTGCCTGAGGTGCACTTAGCTTATTTTTTTTTATCTTCTTTAAATGACATCTTCACTCTTTTAACCTAAAATTTGAGCTACAGGAAAGATGAATCCTTCCCTGTTCATTCATGTCCTGCATGATGTTTCTGCTGTATTGACTGAGGTACCAAAGGGAATCTCAGAAGCCCTATCTTCCCACTTCTCATGGAAGCTGTGGTGGGTGCTATAACCAAAGTGTGAGAGTAAATAAAAATGATAATAAAACGTCTTTCCCCTGAAACTCCACAAAATTGATGGAACCCCAGACCTTCAAATATTTCCATCCAATACAGGCCACTCTCATAACTGCCATTGAATTCCCCCAGTCAGGGAAATCAAACTGCAGAGAAAACACTGCACACAGCCCCTGTTAACTATTGTTCTTCTGCCAATTCCAATGCTTTGAGCATATGCCTGACATATTTTTGGAAATTATTCTTGTCTTGTTAACATCACTGTTGTTGTTGTTGTTGTTTTCTCTTACATGGCTAGGTTCTTTTTGTCACTGCTCCCATTACATGGGTAGAATTGAAAGAGGACCCTCTTACCACTAGTAAAGCACCTTTCTTCTAAATGTACAGGAATCATTTCATAGCTATATAAGCAGGCTAGAAAAGGGATACAGTTTCCTTCAGTTCAGGACAACTCTTCCCAATAGACACCAAATATTTAATAAGTGGCTTCAGAAATGAGAGATGATTCCAATAAGTGCTGGTTAGTGAGGGTGATGAAGTGAAAGTCATTGATCTTATGTATGATAAACTCGGAGTCTGTACCGACCTTTAGTCATTCAAGGAAGACAACATAGAAGCACGCAAACATGAATCTTAGAATTCTTGAAGACAAAACAAGAAACTACTGAATTCATGATGGAAAGGTAAGCAATAGCTTAAAAAATGACAACCAAACAGAATTAAGTGTAAGAAAGCATCTGCTTTGCATTCTCAATAAAATGCAAGAAACAGGAAATAAAAAGCTGAGATGAAAAAACAATATCTGTTATTAAAAGATAAATTAGTTGAGATGTATCCAGATATAAGAAGGGAGAAAGATGAGATATGAAATGTTAGTATGTGAAATATGCAATAATAGCATTAACATCTGCCTTATGTCCTGAATATGCCAAGTACGTTGCCTGCTATATATACTGCCCCATTCTGAGTAAACTTGGAAGGACTGTGATGCCCTCAATCTCTGTCTGAGGGGTTCTGAAAGTGTGGCTGCCATACTAGCCGCTTATGACTGGATGCCAGCCACAACAGTATGACCAGATATGAGTTTCTATCCAAAGCATCCCCACATAGACTGGCCTGAAGCATGAGAGATGGCTTGGCACTACTCTACTCCATCGGAGTGTTTTCTATGTGCTAGTGGCTGATTAAATAACCCAGATACTCTTTTGGGGAAGGTTTGAAAATGAGACATACAGATGTCCACAGAATGGTGATTGATTTTCCCTGGGGTTAGGAGTTAAGAGTCTGGCTCTTTTATCACGTGTTCATGTGAAGTTTCTGGGGCCACCTCTGGGGTTTCCTCATTGCAGTGATTCCACTTCTGGTTTGCCTTCTTCCACTCTCATTTTGTACACACCCTTTCCCTTATCAGACTGGGGATTGTTGCTGATTAACTCGTCCTGGTTGATCAGGTGCTGTCAAGGTGACTGAAGCTCAGCTGACTTCTGCAGTGTACACTTGATCTATGGCAAACTCAGGCGCTCGTCAGTCAAAATGATAAACAGCAGGCTGGCCCATGCTGCGTCCCCTATCTACTCTGTCATCTCCCTATTTCTCTTTCTCCCTTCTCAGATAGATGTGAAGGAAGGTCAACCGGTTTGTTTTCTAATGTCCAACTGGAAAAATGAATGCCAATTTATCTTTATAGGCATCTACAATCTTCCAATCTTCACTATTAGAGTTTTGTCTTTTTCTCATTCCTGGTTTCCCTGAGCATACTCCAAGTTTCCTCTAAGACTTTATTTACTTCCCCCTGAGGGAGGCAGACTGTTGTATCTTATTTGCAAATTTGGTAGGAGTAACCTGCTCAATTCTAGATTTTACCATTATCAAGCAAACATTTTATATATATATCAATATAAAATAAAGGTGTTTCCAGATACTAATTTTTTGTGTGTGTATGTGTGCGTATTTCATTAATAAATTTTAAAAACAGGAAAATAAAAGAACAGGCAATTCACCAAAGAGTAGACAATAATAACAATAACTTCATAAAAAGATGCTTAACCTCACTAGGAATGAGAAAAGCACACATAATACTGAGTAGACCCTTTTCATCTTTAACATTGCAAAAACAAAATAAAATTTGACTATTAACTCTAAGTGAATATATGAAAAAATCAGAGTCTTTATGAATCACTGAAAGGAAAATGAATTAAGATAGTTACATTAGAAAACAGTTTGGTCATATTTAATAGAAAATGTGTAGACCTTACTCTATAGGCATCCTACTTCTAGGTATATATGACATATTATAGAGAAATCCTTATACATATATAACAAAAAATGAAATTTACTCATCTATTTATTTCAGAATTGTTGTAATACAAAAAGACTAAAAACTATGTACATGACTATCAGTTAAGTAATAGATAAAATGTGGAATAATCATATGATGGCTTAAACCCACGTAGATGTTTGGCTCCCCCAAGCTAGTTTGCTACATTTTTCCCTTATAGGCAGACCCTATCTCTTTCTGGAGAGGCTTTCAATGCTAGACTCTTAGATTAATGTCATCTTTGCTTGTTCAGTTTGGGCATGAGAATCAATTCTGGGCACTGGGTATAGCGGAGAAATCTGCTACGACCTTCTGTGACAAACATTTCTCTCTGATAAGAACAGAGATTCATGAGGAGAGATTCTTTCCTTTCCATCCTGTGTTGGATGTTATTCTGTATTGTGCATGATGCTGGATCTGTTGCAGCCATTTTGTGACTCTGAGGGAAAAGCAAGGAAAATTGCAAAGAAACCAATGCAGGGCCTAGTTTTGTTGAATGCTTATTAGTTCTGGACTGAAGTACCTCTGAACTATTGTTACGTGGGCAGAATATACCCTGATAGTTTAAACCACTTACAACTAGCATGTCAGACCGAGCATGTAAGATAACACTGAGAGGGAGAAAGAGAAAGCGTTTTATTTGATAATATCTTCCCCTCACTCAGGAGTATAATTAATTGAATAAACTTATTTCTGTGTACCTCAGTTCCACAAGTAAAACATAAGGAATGATAAAAATGATTACCAAGATTCAATAAGAACATAGATTATAATGTGCAGATAAGGTAGTAAGTGTGTTCATATGCTCATAATAATGTGTTCAGTACAAATATATAAATTTAAAACAATATAAAGAGAAATATATTCACCAGCATTCTAACTTATTTGGGGGAAAGTAGATCAATGTGTCTGGTCATTTCCAGAAGGTAAAGCAGCCAGAGCAAGGAACAGGATTACAGTTTACCCAGCTACACTTGGAGGGAGGACATCACAGAGGGAGCACTGGGTGCTGAGAGGCCAGAGAAATCTTTGCCAGCAAGAAATAGAAATGTGCCTTTTGTCATGTGATTCTTCTGCTCAACTCAAGAAACTTACGAGAAAGATCCTTACTAACGTAAATATGAATACTTTTGAGTTGTAAAGGAAAGGGACTCTGAATCCGGTTCTGATGAGTGGAACTACTGAGAAATGCTTGTGGACTCAGGAATGCAGTCTTGAAAAGTCGAGAAAGTGAGGTGTGGGTCTTGTTGGAAAAGCCGACTGCCCTAAATCTAGAATTGGGATTTTACTCAAACTTTATCTGGATCTCAAAGGCTCATGCGATGATTGAGCTATATTTTTGGTTTCTTTACAAGGGTAACCAACTATATAAAGGATTAAATTATCCTAGGATGGATGACCCAAAGTACAACTTAAGTATTTCTGATTTCTGACAAACTCGTGCAGAGGAGTGGAAGCCAAGCTGAACCATGCCAGAATGTTTCTTAGAATTCTATTCCAGAGTCAGACAAAATGAACAGAAATGCTCAGACAACATTACAGAATGAGAGAGGCATTGTTTTGGATTTTTAGGGTATTTCAGACAACGCTAGATGAACTTAGTCTAAGAGACTTTTTTCATATCCCATTTTGTTTTTAATTGATTAAAAATAATTATATATATTTATGAGGTAAAATGTGATGTTTTAATGTATATTTACTTTGTGAAATGATCAAATCAGGCTAATTAAAATGTCCATCATTTCAAATACTTATTATTTCCATCACTTCAAATACCTACTATTTCTTTGTGGTAAGAACATTTAAAATCTACTCTTTAAGCTATTTTGAAATGTACAGTACATAATTATTAACTATTGTCACCATGCTGTGTAAGAGATCACCTGAACCTATTCCTCCTGTTAACTGAAACTTGGTACCCTTTGACTAATGTCTCTTCTTTCCCCATTTACCCTCCCCAGCTTTCCCGTGCCTCCGGTAACCACCATTTTACTCTCTACTTCTATGAGTTCAACTTTTTCAGATTCCACATAGAAGTGAGATCAGGCAGTATTTGTCTTTCTGTGCCTGGCATATTTCACTTAGCATAGTGTCCTTTAGGTTCATCCATGTCATCATCAATGACACAATTTATTGCTTTCTAAAGGCTGAATCGTATTCCATTATGGACATGTCAGTTGTTTCCATTTCTTGGCTTTTGTGAAGAAGGCTGCAATGAACATGGAAGTTCAGACATCTCTTTAGCATAGATCAATTCCTTTGGATGTATACCCAAAAGTGGAATTGCTGATCATTTGGTAATTCTATTTTTAGTTTTTTAAA